AATCGCAGCATGAAGACCGTGTACCAATTGCTCTGTCCTGGCGACGACTGTGTGCAGATTCGCGCCAACTTCGTAGAATTCGCAAGTTGAGAATTCTGGGTTATGCGTGTTGTCCACACCTTCATTTCTGAAGGCACGTCCAATCTCGAAGATCTTATCCTGTCCTCCAACAATCAGCCGCTTCAGGTTAAGCTCAGGTGCTATCCTGAGCCTAATAGGAGTATTGGATAGCTCGTTTGCGATAGTCTCAAAAGGTCGTGCAATAGCACCTCCAGCGTTAACGTCGAACATGGGTGTCTCCACTTCTAAAAAGCCGCTCTGTATGAAGTACGTGCGCACGTAGTCATAGATCAGCGCCCGGAGACGAAGGACATCGCCAGGCTCGTCGCTTGTGAGCGCGTGAATGTGTGGTCGTCGCGCAAGTGTCTCGGCATCGTCAACCCTCTCTGGGAGATGATGAAGGCATGGCGCGAGAATCTGGGGTACGTCGAGGGCAAGAATTGAGAGCTGTCCACTGGATGTCTTTGTGGGGTTACCGTTAATGGCTTTGCAGCATTAGAGTCTATTATCAAGCTTGACGGCTTCATCACTTACACACCCAGTCACCAACCCGAGCGACTTTCTTGAAATTCTTAAAGTTCTCATCAAGGCCGTCTTGAGGTGTGAGCTTCTTCAGCTCTACCATGACCTGCAATCGCTGTGTATCACGTTCAATATCGAGGAACATTAGCTTGGAGCCAAGCAGTCGCACTGAGCGCACCCTTCCTGACACTGTCAGAACCGGACCGGTGCTCACGGGTAGTGAATCATACCAAACACAGACACACGATCAGGAGTTGTTTCTTGGATGCCATCGTATTTGGCATTGAAATCACGTATCGACAAGTTCTGCGCATCCGCGGAATAAGCCAGCCTAGGGTGATAATCGCCCAAGGGCTTCACCTTGCCCAAGTGCTCCAAGCGCTTCTGCTTCTCTACATCATGTGGGCCAGTATATGCATCAGCGGCTAGGCTCTGGATAAAGCGCCGCTGAACAGAGAGATATGCTCGCGCATGTTCCGGTCTGATGGAGCGACTAGCCTGATGAAGGTATGGGCGGAGAAAGTTCAAGGTTGGCCGGCTCATGGTTCCTTTATCTCGTTAGCTACTGGTCGCAGAGAACGTGTCATAATGAATATGTAATGAAGACGGTTTCAGTAAAGGGTATAGTGAAGTCAACCGCCCGAAGGCGTCATTCGCAACGGTTCTAAGGTTGTTTTGGATCATCATAGGAAGGGCTGTGGGCTGCGGCGTTTGCGAAGCTTGACAGAGCTCAACGCGGGACTGATAATACACATCAATCGACCCATTGAGCGCTGGTAAGCAGCGCAAGACAGCTGTGTATGTTATGAAATGTTGTAGACTTACCTTTCTCTGGAACATGCCTGTGACGGCACGCCGATGACAAGTAATGAATGGAATGTCGAGGTGAGAGAACTTTCACCTCAGACTGCCAAAGCTCGGCCCATCCGCAGTTGAGCCGTCAAGCGAGCGCAAAGCGGCTGTGCGCAGTCACGTGACTCACTAGCGTGCCAAGCATATTTGTGCTTATATTCTAGCTTTCCCCCGGCCCCAAATCTGGCCAGCATACTTACCTTCTTGCGACTCATCAAGCTCAGGTATTTGATGGTCTGACAACGTCGCCTCCATTGCACAGCGGGGTGTGGTGTTGTCATGAATCTCCTTCGGGGGCTTCAGCGGGGCAATTTTTGCTGGTCTGCCACTGCGGCTTTTTTTTTTTCATTGATTCCAGTGCCTTGTGCATTGGGTTGAGGAAGAAGTTTGACTGAATGACAAAGCGCGGCCATGATTGAGGATGTCTACCCGACCAACTCAAGCCATCGTGGTGCTGCCAAGGATGTAGAGGGTTTAGTATAGGCGGAATCTTGAGCAGACCTGAGGGTTGCTAGAAAGCTAGAGCATTGTCAGGACATCCTGATTTTACTAGCTTTGGAGGTAGCTGTCTGTACCTATCTTCCCACTAGATATCCTGATGTCCTGCTGGAATCTGGACTTCGATTTTTGGCTTTGATCTCCACTTATGGACTAAACATCTTATAAGAGCAGAGTACTTCTTCCTACTACAGCAAACTATATTACAGCTATATAAATATTTATAGAGAATCTAAAAGTCTACAATACTATTAATCTTTATAATCTCTGTTGTTAGGAGCTAACGTAAGTTGTAAGGTAGAGCTTATTATCTCTACATGTTTGATTTTTCTGTTATATGGGGTGCATGAACAAGACGCCATGACTCTCAAGTGCAAATAGCAGCCTAAAAGTTGTCGCTGACTTGGTCGAGCCATTCGTCTTACTGCTAACGCTCCTCAATCTGGCGCACATGGCAACAAACGAAGTGTCTGTACCTGCGTCGGCACTTACCCAGTCCGTTCACCAAGAGTTTGATGCATGTCAACTCCCCGGATTCTCAGCGTTTATCAATGATCCGGATGCTCGATCCACCATCATGGTCCTCAGTCGCAAGCATATAAGTCCTCGCGTTGCCGCTGGCTTGAAGCCCATCACTATTCTACCATGTATGCCTCCACGTCAACTCCAAAGGATCAGTTCCACATGCCTCTTACTCTTGCACGTCACGATTAATCCGGTTTGTCTCTCATATCAACACCCCGAGCTTAATACGACATCAATCCTATATGCCGAGCGAAGGCCGCTCCGAGCATACTCGGTGGTCTGGCCATAGCTCCCTGTCTAGCTCCAACGGCGAAACGCGAAGCGCGTGTTGCCCCGCCATGACATCGCCATGACGCTCGTCAGAATTCCCGTCATCAACGTCGATCTGCGCCAGCACATGGCATTTCCGAATCCGCACCTGTTCAGCTCGCGTAGAGCGGACTTGTACCCCTCCATGGCGTGTCATGACGTTAGGCTAGCCCCTCCAAGCGTATGTACAAGGGGGCGGATAATCTTCTGGTTCGCGGTAGTTGTAAGAAGGCTGCAAATTCAACGTCACATGTTGGCAATATGTCATCGGTTTTGTCTCTGTTAGCATTGAAAAGGTAGGCACTCTGCGCATGTTGTCACTTCTCCGTCTTCATCTCTCTCTATCAGACCCTTCTCAACTCTGAGCACTTTCTACTCTTCATATAACAGCTGCACATCGAACCTACGCCCAAGATGATGTCCCAAGCAGCTCGCCAGGCCGAGAAGGTCATTGGCCATGGCGATAACGCCACCACCGCGCAGAACGTCACCAACCCTGGCAACGATGAGAGTACAGCCGACTACTCTGAGACAATGAAGGCTCTGGCGTGGTACGGCAAGAACGAGGTCCGAATGATTGACACACCGAAGCCCAAGATTCTAGAGGATCGTGACGTTATCGTCAAGGTCACTGGTTCCACAGTCTGCGGTTCTGACCTGCACTTGCTTCACGGCACTGTCGTGGAGATGCAGAAGGGCGACATTCTCGGACACGAGTTCTGTGGTGTCGTCGACGAGTGCGGCCCCGGTGTCACAAAATTCAAGAAGGGGTACGTCTATCTCGAAGTTTGTGCTCAGAGGCATCGCTAATAAAATATAGTCAACGAGTCGTTGCCTCCTTCCAGATCGCCTGCGGTGACTGCTACTACTGCAAACAGAAGCTGTCTTCACAGTGCGAGAAGACCAACTCAAACACAATCGAGAACGCAATGTACGGCGGCCGGACAGCAGGCATGTTCGGTTACTCTCACTTCACTGGTGGATATGCTGGTGGTCAAGCAGAGTACACTCGCGTGGCATACGGTGACGTCAACCTACTGCCGCTTCCCGATGATGTTCCTGACGAGGCGGGTCTCTTCCTTTCTGACGTTCTGTGCACGTCATGGCACGCTGTTGTCGACACTGGTGTCAACAAGGGTGATGTAGTCGCCATTTGGGGAGCCGGCCCGATTGGACAAATGGCTGCGGATTTCTCTTTGATGCAAGGCGCATCCAGGGTCATCATGATCGACTCTAACTGGCGTCTCGACTTCGTCAAGGCCAGATATCCCAATGTCGATACTCTCGACTTCTCTACATTGGCCAAGGGCGAGTCTGTCACAAGCAAGCTCAAGGAGATGTGCAACAACCGCGGTCCAGACGTCAGCATTGAGTGTGCTGCCGGTGAGTATGCCAAGGGCTGGGCACATTACTTCGAGATGATGCTCGGTCTCGAGACCGACACCAGCGAGCTCATCAACGAGATGATTACCAGCACACGGAATATGGGTCGCTGTGGTATTACTGGTGTATATGTCGGCTTCACCAACCACTTCAACATCGGTTCTCTTATGGAGCGTGGTATTCGTCTTATTGGTAACGGTCAAGCACCTGTTCACATGTACTGGGAGTCTCTCCTCCAGATGATCCAGGAGAAACGCATCGACCCGATGAAGATGGTCACCCACCGTGTTCGCCTTGAAGACTTGGACAAGGTCTACTACAAGTTCGAGAAGAAGGAGGATGGCATGCAGAAGGTCTTTGTTGAGACCAAGTGGAGTTTCCCAGCGTCGAAAGGTAGCCCTGAGTTGACCAGGTACTAAGCCTGCTTTCATTATACCAAAACATGTAGCATAGTTTAATGATACCAACAAGAATGAAGTAAATAATTATTACATGAATATATAGCCGTCAATGACGTATTTTGATAAAGATGTAAATCTGTTAATGTATGCATCATCATTTCGATTCAACTGACAGCTAACACTACCATCTGAGGCTTATTGTAGGTAGAAACTTCGTCGACGCACAAACCCAATCGATATGCATGACAAAAGGACGGGGTGTTATGACAATTCAACTCTGGCCATTCTCCATCATGGTTTGACAATGTGTCCCATGATATGCAATGGAGGCGACGTTGTCAGACCATCAAATACTTGAGCTTAATGAGTCGCAAGAAGGTAAGTATTGTCCCATGATATAAACTTGACTTATTCCTTTCGCATGCTGGAGCTGCGACCGTTCTCTACCCTCTACCGTTCTGTGCTCGTCTCATTGAGAGCTCGAGCAGCCTCCAACTCCGCTATGAAAGTCTTAAGCCTCTTCACATTTGACCACGCCATCCTCGTTTGGTAGTACTTTGGCACACTGAAAAGAAACCAGGCGATGATCCACAAATACCCGATAGCATACTCTGCGCTATGCAGCCACCTTGCGTCTGACCTGAATCCTAACAGTCTCCGCACCTTGCTCCACTGAGTCGCCACACACCACTCGAATATCATAGGTAGAATCTGCGCAACATAGTAACATGTGATAGACCAACAATCGCCAGAAGGGTTCTGTTGCCACCGAACGAGTGAGTGCATAAGGCCGGATACGAAGAAGACAAGCGTATTCTCGACCAATCGCGTGACTGCACCGCGCTTCATACCCAGCCAGCCTCTCGTCACACATTTGATGTGGCCTGAGAATGAGTGATAGACATAATTGTGCCAATGCTTCGACCAGTACCTTCTCACCGACCACGCGTTACTAAATGGGCCAAAGAGAGCTGTAGACCATTCTTCCGGGCCGTCTAGCCCCGAACCGACGTAGAGAGCGGCGAACATACTGTGATAGCTTTCATACATCCATAAGGACAAGATGCACCAGTCGAACGTGAACTCCAACCGCCAGGTTATCTCTTGGTAGTCTATAGATGTTGGCAGTTGCTGGAAGAATTTCAAGAGCCCTGGTGTCATATATGCGCTAGGCGGTAGGACAAGAGGGGAGTAGCGTGTTTCGTAGAGGTCGAACAGCCTTTGGAGGCCATAGTAAACGAGCCCCTTGAGGACATGGTAGCCGACAAATCTCCAGCGCGAGTAGCCATGGCCTTCTTTCTCAGGTAGCACAACGCCGTGTTGGATGCGAGTGTTCCGCAAGATAGGTTCGTCGGTCTTCTTATTGGTTGCTATATATTGCTCTTCTCCAGTTTTTTCTTTCAATGCCGAAATTCCATTGGAGTTTGTCGGTGATTTGTGCTGTTGTCTCTGTTCAAGCACCTGCGTGTGGTTCCGATCGAAAAGAACTTTGTATCCTTGTTTGACTCTTTCTTTGGTTTGTCCCTGTTCTCCCATGTCTTGCTTCTCCTTTGGCAGAACCGGCGCAAATTCTACGATGCAGACTTCGTAGCTCATGTGTGCGAACCATATTAGACACGTCCGCGCAAATGTGTCATTTATCAAGAAGTGTGGACAGAGTTGATCCGAGTATCGAAATGCATACCAGGTTGGTAAGGCGAGGATGAAGATGGAGAGTTTGCGGTAGAGGCGCCTGGTTGGTGGGAAGGAGAGAATATAGAGGGCGTATAGTATGGCTGTGATGAAGCACAGGATAGGTGTGGCAGCGTTGATAAGTTTCCAGTCCTCTTGCAAGTACTGGCCAGGCATGATGGTCGTGTGTGCGATGTGTTACGCAGCCGTGAAATCTTCCAAATGGTCTGAAGTGGCGGTATACCAGAGTGAGAAGATTGGCTTTTCAGAACTGCGAGTGATTTTTTATTTGGTGTGTGCAGGTCGGACTATATAACTGTGGTCGCGAATGTCTAACCACGGTTGGTGTGGTGGAGACTTACGTGAAGTTGTGGTAATAAGACTCCCGAGCCTTGTTACCTGTGAATGTCCACTCAGATCGATTGCGAGGCATGGATCCTCGAACCTAGGCTCAAATGTGGAGATGGGTGAAAGGCGGTTCTACTTCGCAGCGCGGCGATTTACCGATTCCTAGCATTCACCGACCTACTATTGTAGACCTTTAACCATTGAGTACTGTGAAAACAATCACAAGATACCGCAGTTATATAGGCCGGGCAATAGAAAATTGTATGTTCCTTTCAGGCTCAGTCCAGTGATCACGGATGTTAGCTAGCTTTGTGCTGCTTGCATGGTTTGCGCTGGAGTAGACTTTCTAGTTCAAATCATGGTTTGTCAGACAATGGAAACAGGGTTCTTGTCAGAGGCTCAAATCAGCTCGACCATCTACCAGTTTTTCTATGTCTGTGAATTACCAACATCCCCAGGCCTCGGAGCGAAACCGCTAATTGGATATTCGTACGATACTGGCGAGGAGGACGTATCTATTTCTCCTAGAAGCATTACGAATATGCTTAGACAGTCGTACTGTTGAGTTTGCATGTTCAGCTTTGGGTATGGAGACTTTATGTCTAGCCAGTAAATCGATCCTTGGGTCATTCGGTCGGTGCTGTGATCGGAGTGCAAGAGTCCTAATCATGTTGTTCATCACAAGAAAGTCGGCCATGAGCCAATCTGCTAGACGACTGACTTGTTTGCTATCGTATGCGTCTTTGGTAGTGATTATTCAGCCGGCACAGCATGCTTCATCTGACCAGTCACTCAAGCACAAGTCATTCGCAGCTGACGCTGATCTTGCTTGCAGACTCGTCATGATTACATCTGTCGACAAAACGCGGACGAACAAAAAGAAAAGAAGGAAAAGAAAGAATGCACGGAGGTCTTGCAAAAGACGTATTCGTTTCTCTTGGCTATTGATACGGGGTCCGCGAAACAACAAAAACAAAACGACCGTGTGCGACGTGCTGGCAGTCTGTGTTGTATTGTTGAGATAGGACAAGTTGCCGCTCAACCGCACCAGCGGTCTTGGGTACACGGATACTAGGTTGTGCCCAGCCAGACGCCTAGCCACAGAGTTGTGGCGCGTGCCGTTTCGAAACCAGTTCCGGGTCGTGGCGCATGAAGGGTACGCGGCCTTGCAGTGTCGCATCCATAGGATTGGCTATATGCATAGCATGGTGTGACGCGGGTGCAGCCGTTGCTTGTGGACGCCAAGGTTGGCTTGTGGTGTCTCTGCGGCACCATGCAGCGACGCAAAGCCTTGTTGCTACTGAGGCACCATGGCTGATACGATGGGGCCTTCACATGCTGGCATACTTGTCGTGGCTAGATTTGACCTTCATGTCCAAGGCTGTCTCATGGAAGTTGCCCTGGACCCTCGACTTCCTTAGCTTCTTGACCTCATCGTCGTTGAGACGCCGGCCAATCTGGTCTTGTAGCTCCTTGCGACTAATCTTGACATTCGCCTTGTCTTCCTTGCTCGCCTTGAGCCGCGGCTTGAAGCGGGCTTGCATGCGTATGCGGAAAGTGGTGCTGAAGTCTATGTGTTCGGCGTCGCCCCGTGGTTCTGGGGTTTTCCCAGACGATCCGTCGATGGTCAGGAACTTGTCGCGGGCAGTCTGCAGGGAGAAGGCGGAGGGATTGTCGGGCACGGAAACGACGACAAAGGTTTCTTCGGGAGAGATGGCGGTCGCGGTCGCGCTTAGGACGCCCAACTTGTCGCAGCTCAGATATCTACATCACGTCAGTCGCGTCTTTTGCATGTCCGCTGAAGCTCCGTGCCTTCCGTGATGGCCCTTCAGACTGAGCTGTTCGGTGCCAGCGATGCGATTCGCGACGAAGACCTGGCGCACATCGTGCGGTTCAGCCGTCGCGACATCGCCCTCGACTATGTTCTCCAACTCGCTTGCAAAGACCTTTCCGTTGGCGTCGCATGCCAGACACGTGTTCGGTGAGTCGGTGGGCAGCACGATAACTATTGGTCCCGAGATGTCTGTCGGCGCATCTGCGCTCACCCAAGAGTCGTCGCTCTCGGCCTCGGCAGGTGCGCTGGTCGTAAGCTGCTTCGAGGGCTTCTCGTCGGCGTCGTAAGGGTCGGCAGCTTTTCTGCGCTTCTTGACCTTCTTGTCACCCTTGAAGTGGAGTGCCTTGGGCATGGTGATGGCGCCGCGATGGTGGTGGTGGTGGTGGTTAGGCGTCGGAGCTGAGAGATCGGAGTTGGCCGAGGCTGAAGCAAATCAGGCAGGTGCAGTCGAGATTCTGATCAGACGAGACCAAACCCGCACTACGAGATCACGATAAAGAAGCAGTACTGGCTATTGAGTGTGAATAGCATCATCAGTCACTGCATCTTGCTCGACGACTACAATGGCCAACGCTAACGCTGCAGTGAGCCAGAGTGCCGTCGCCGTAGGTCTAGACGCTCTGAAGAATAGTGAGTGGCTTTTGCATCACCACAACCCACAGTGGCTGATATCTCTGTAGACCATGTAGACTTTTCTCTACTCGAAGATGCCTTCGGATCGTCTAGCTTGGGCATTATTGTTGTAAAGGATATGCCTTCCAAATTCCATGAGCTGCGACATAAATTATTGTCATACGCCTCTGCTCTGGGAAATCTACCAGAAGACGAGTTAGGTGAGCCGTGTCCCCAGACACCCTAACGGGATTGAAACTAATACATGACCAGCCAAACTTGAATCGCCGGCATCCAAATGGCTAGTTGGCTGGAGTTGTGGAAAGGAGACCCTCAAGGACGGCAGATATGACACCCTCAAGGGCTCGTACTACGTCAACTGTGCCAATGGTTTCGAAGAGCAGCAAAAGTCATTCGCTGAAAAGTACCCATCTTTCCCAGAGTACACAGCGCCCAACGTTTGGCCTTCCCAAGAGCTCCTGCCAGGCTTCGAGGACACCTTCCGTGAGCTGTGCACTCTCATCATCGACATAGCCGCATTGGTTGCCCGTGCCTGCGATAAGTACGCCGAAGCCAACATCGACGGCTACCAGAAAGGGTACCTTGAGCATGTAGTCAAGACAAGTGTCTCGACCAAAGCCAGACTACTGCACTACTTCCCCAGCCCCTCGTCAGCCCCCGACCCATCCGGTGGTGATGAGGACGACTGGTGTGCCACTCATCTTGATCATGGTTGTCTCACAGGTCTCACCTCGGCCATGTTTGTCGACGAAGCCGTCAGTCCCCCAAAGACCGGTACATCATTCGCGCCTCTTCAAGAACTCGACCGCTCACCGGATCCCAAGGCAGGTCTCTACATTCACTCCCGCACCGGTACTGTCACAAAGGTCAGCATACCCCGCGACTGCCTCGCTTTCCAGACTGGCGAAGCACTGGAGATCATCACAAAGGGCAAGTTCAAAGCTGTGCCTCATTTCGTAAGAGGTGCTGCAGCTGGAGGGAAAGTAGCGAGAAACACACTAGCCGTGTTCACGCAGCCGAATCTGTGGGAAAAGGTTGACGAAAAGAGAGACTTTGCGGCCTTTGCCAAGGAAATTGTTGAGAAGAACCACTGAGGCTCAAGCGGTGTTGGTGTAGCGAGCAATAGACCTCAAGTCAGTCAATAGGCGACATGTATAATGACATCACGCATCTCACCCGCTGATCTTACAGGGCTGCCAAGCTCCCGGGCGTTCCTGCCCAAGGTACCCGGGACCTGAGTCAACAGAAAAAACCCAAATGGCGCATGCATGCTGACAGATGGCATTTTGAAATCGCCAGAATTACATGCCACGACAGTCAGCTGTGGCTTCGTAACGATGCCAGCGCTTGAATCATTATCCACAATGCCGAAATGAGGCTCCTAATCTACGCATGATACAACGCGTCGTCCTGTACGCACTTCTTTGTCGTCGAAGCGCGCTAGGACGTTGCTGTGAGACGCGCTACACACATTGCGCGGCCTCGAAAGTTGAAACACACAAAACAGCGGCTGTCATCTAATCTACGTCGACGATCTCACCCACTGTCAGCCGCCGGCCAAACGTGGAGGGTGGGTACTGAGACCCGAAGACGCGCTGCTTTAGGTTCCAATGTTGCGCCACACGTCCAAGGTTTTTCGCCATGGATGCAACGCAACCTCTGCGCATCCCTAGGCAAGCACCCGTTCCTCTAGCCACAGGCAGTGCCAACACAATCACTATATTCGTTTTCTTGCGTGCAGTGCCGAATCCCGGTTGGCGCATCCTCTGTCACCGCCACAGCGAATTGCCCATGCAGGCGGCTTGTTGCCAAGAAATAGAAGGCCTGAAACCGGTGGGGAACATTCACCATCCACCGACGATTATTACGCGGCCCCCCATGCTGGCTCGGCGCTTGTTCCCCCTTTCAGCCCCAAAGCCAATTAGACGGCCAAAAATCCCTATTCCTTCTCGACGCATCTCTATCATGCCAAGAGAGCCTATCCGAGATGCCGTCTTCGCATGGGGGAACTTGCTTGCACCCTTGCCATGCACTTAACCTCCTTCTTGGTTCGATTCTATCCACACCAATGCAGCCTCTATAGCTGTCACTGTCGCTCATTTTTCTTCCCTCTCTTGTCTTCCTGCAATCGCTGAGCGTTCTTACACATCACCACTTGGGGCCTGTATATCCCATCATCAGTCGTTAAGTCGTCTGCATGCGTATGTCTTTCCTAGCAAAGGCCCCGTTATCGCTCGCGCGCGCCACCATCTCGAGCCTTGCTACTCCTTTGGAACCCGCCGCTGGTCCCGGAAAGATGGCTTCCAACAATCGCCAGAATGTTACTTGGGTTGAGGTAGGCTGTCATAGTCTAGCCAGACATGGGTGTCTGCTAACCGTCATAGGGTGTTCGTGGAGTCGCTTCGTTCTGGGTTGTCGTAACACATTTATGCCGGGCTTGGGACTACAGCCTTTGGTCACCGCGTGACAACGAGAATGCAGCACCGCAACTACTGCAACTGCCCTTCCTCCGATTACCATTCCAAGGCCGTATCGGTGTTACCATGTTTGCTTTTCTCACCGGTTACGTATGCGCCATCAAACCACTTCGACAGGCCAAATCTGGAAACGTTCCAGCTGCGTTGGAGACACTGGGCAAATCTGCTTTCCGTCGCCCACCGCGACTGATTATGCCCGCGACCATTGCTCTGGTTATTGCGTGGTTTTTTGCCCAGATTGGTGCTTTCGAGGTTGCCCACCTGAGCGACTCTCACTGGTTCCGTCGTTCAGTCCCTACCAACATCGGTGGCCTTGATACGGAAATCCCACGATTGATCAAGAACTTCCAGACGTCTTGGTCCGGCGCCAATAACGAATACGATGACCACCAGTGGGCTCTCTTGCCTCTGCTGCAAGGTGCTTTCCTCATCTACGTTTTGCTCTTCGCCACTGTCTTCATGAAGTTCCGCATGCGCCTCTTTACCTGCATGGTTCTGTTCCTGTGGTACTGGATGCGCACTAGCCCTGAGAAGGGTATGTATTGATCGCTGAACTTGCTCGCAACAACCACTAACATCACTAGAAACTTTCGAGTGTCAGTTCCTCTACGGTGTCATTCTCTGTGATCTCGGCTCCGAGAAGAGCTTCCGCGAATTCATCAATAGCCGTGTCAAGGCTCGACGTATTGCGACCGCATTCCTCATCATCCTCGGCTGGTATGTGGCGTGCTACCCCGGAGAGCACTGGGAGTGGTCGGCTTGGTCTGTTCAACTTAAGAATATTGGAGACTGGATTATTCCTCAGGGTGCAGCAAGCTACCCTAAACGCTGGACTGCTATCGGATGGGATCTGATGGTCACCGGAATTTGGCTATCGCCTTCTTTGCAGAGCATGTTCTCGAACAAGCTCTTCATGTGGGTTGGCCGCAACAGTTTCGCCGTATACCTTACCCACGGAACGGTCATGAAGGTTGGCCTAGCTCGCCTGATTTACGGATTCAGCACTGCACCGTACCACGTCGAGCAGCCAAAGGATGGTCAGGGCGAAGCCATTGAGCACTACATTCCCAGGTCTACAAACTGGTTGGTCTGGGCCCTCGCCATTCCCATCTTCTTCGTCGTCGAATACACCATCGCTCACTTCTGGACCACATACGTCGACGCACAATGCGCGAAAGCCACCAAGTGGCTTGAGGACAAGATGTTCGAGAAGAACGAAGACGAGAAGCACGGTGTCGCAAGCATGGCTTAAATCAACACAATGCGCAAAATTACAAGCATCATCATCGGGAGTTACAGACGAGAACCTCCTGCTCGGTTTTCCTTGTTGTCGGGTTTCATTTTCGGTTTTACGATTTCCTTTGTTTGGGTTTACTACATATGCGGATACCAGCATTCGTCGCATTTCATGGAGTTTCTTTGGTATGGGCAGCAATCAGCATAAAGCATAGAGCTTTCTTAGACAAGGGAAATGTTCTCGTGTCGCAACGACAAGATTTGGCCGGCACTGTATAGCGAAGCAAGGGAGTCGAAAGCTCAACAGATTATCTAATTCAACAAATCATCAACTCAAATCTCAAATGCCTCAATATTGCATTGTGCACCCCATATCACCTCCGGTCCGATCCTCGTGACCTTTTTGGTCAGGAATAAGTTCCCGCAGATCTTTGAAGCATCAAATCTTGGCCGCCTCATTATTGGAAGTATCATCACAAATAGTCATCATGCGACAACACAAAGAAAAAAAACCACCGAGAAATTGCGCCATCCGGCCACCGCCTATCTCCCCCATCCGTCAGAAAAACCACTCCTTCAGGAACGGCCCCAATCCACACCTTCCCAATTCCTCCAGAACGGTCCCCGATACGCAGCCTGCAATGACGTATATCCCTGCAGCGGACCCAATTCCTACAAGAATCCAGCCCACTCTACTTGACCAAGAAATCCGGACGGCATCACGAGCCACATGCAACAACTTCTTAAGCTTATTGCCAAGCTCGCTGCTAACTGCCGCTTGAGGGACATTAGCCACAAGGGTCTCTTGGCGTTGCTATACCCACGCCGTTATCCCCGTTGGCTGTGGCGGCTGGTGTGGTGTGTGGTGCTGCTGCGTGGACGCATGTGTGTTGCGCATGATGGCGGTGTGCCGGTCAATATCTTTGCGCGATACAGGATGTAAGAGGGCAATGCTTGTGTCGCATGTATATCTGCTATCCACTGTGATTTGGAAGGTGTGGGGGCC